GCTGCGTTGGGTTTTCGTTGCTTTGCGCAGGCTTTTCTCTAGTTGCGGCGAGCAGGAGCTACTCTTCATTGTGGTGTGAGAGCTTCTCATTGCGGTGGCTTCTCTTGTTGCGGAGCACGGGCTCAAGGCACGCGGGCTCCAGTGATTGTGGCACACAGGCTCAGTAGTTGTGGCTCGTGGGCTCAGTAGTTGTGGTGCACGGGCTTAGTTGCTCCACGGCATGTGACATCTTCCCGGACGAGGGCTCGAACCCGTGTCCCCTGCATTGGCAGGCGGATTCTTAACCACTGAGCCACCAGGGAAGCCCTGTGTTTTCTTTTTAATGTAATTGGTTTCAAAAGAGCCTGGGAGAGTACGGCCTGGTCGGGGGGAGTGGACAAGCTTTCCTGTGTCTGAAGATCTTGCTGATGTGTTTCAGGCTCTGACTCTGGTTGTTGGCAGATAACACTCCATGAGGAGGCCCAGATCGTCAGTGAGGACGCCCAGATCGTCAGTGAGGACAGCACCCTGGCTGTGCGGAGTAGCCTTGATGGAGTAGAAGCTGGGTGGACACGGGCCGTGGCCCAGACGGAGGAGAGGATCAGATTCCTCTGGAATTCCCGAGAGGTGGGTGGCCGTCTAGATTTCCCCGTGAGTGCTGGCTCAGGCCGGGGGGCAGGGAGCCTGTGCATCGGTGTTCACAAAGGACAGAAAACCACACGGGGGATGCAGTGATGGCTCACGGCCCAGGGAGGACCAGCCGCACGGCTTCCTTTGCCCAGGGCTCAGCATAAGCTGTGCTCGGGGAAAGCACTTACGCGGAAGAGAATCCCACTGCCTTGCTGGCCCAAGGCAGGGGCAGCAACCAGAACTCTTGACCTTGAAACTGGAGAAAATCAGCGCAGGGCCCACCCCACTCCCCTCCCACCAACTATGATGAGCAGAAAGAAGGTCTAGAACAAGACAAGGGTCTCCTTGTTGTTTATCCAGACTAAGCATAACTGGGAAACTAGGTGTTTTCATCAAATACATTCAACCTTTTTTCTCGCTTTGATGAAACACCTAAAAGACCAGGACACCCCCTACCACACACCAAGGAAGAAGAAAAGTTTAAGGGGAAAAAATTAGTTTGTCATCTTACATGACATTTTAGGCATTTGTTTGAATTATGTTTGTAAAGTAAGTGAGCATCGGTAGATTTTCTTCCAGCAGGAAAAAAAAAAAAAAAAAGAATGAGTTACACGTTGGGAATAAAGAGGGATGGATGAACAACAAGGTCCTACTGTATAGCACAAGGAACTATATTCAATATCCCGAGAGAGACCATAATGGAAAATTTAAAAAAGAATGAATGTATTTGTATAACTGAGTCACTTTGCTGTACAGCAGAAATTAACACGACGCTGTAAATCAACTGTGCTTCAATTAAAAAAAAAAAGCAGTAAAGAGGGAAAAAACATTACCAAATATTGAAACAAGGAATTCTTCCGCTCACCTCCTCATTTTTCAGATGGTACAAAGTAATGGTGTGCGTGACAGACTCTGCTCCACAGACGGAACAGTAGGGCTGTCTCTTGGGAAGGATCACTGGGAAGATGGTTTGGGGAAAGGTATTCTCAACGATCTAAACATCACTAAGTTTCTAGCATCTCTAAGCTACACACACTCCACAGCGGGAAAAGTGTTCCGCCCGGAAAAACCAAACTAAAAATCAAGAAAACCCATTTTTGTTCATTCCCTTGGTATTTCTTACTTGATGATACTTTCTAGATATCTAATTCCCCTTCTCATTATCAGCTTGTTTTCTCTAAGTCACGAGAACAGGCTGATTTATGCCCAAATGACACAGGTTAATTTTGGAAACCAATTTACTCATGAGAAAGGGCAGAAGCCGGTTTGTGAGATTTTAAGGGTTATCAAAATCGTGAAAAAGTTTGGGGGCTTAGATAAGATCACTAAAATGTTCAAGTATTTTACTGAATGAATGAAGGGCACATAGGGACACTTAAGCGTCTCCAGCTACCATTTCAAAATGGTCATTTGGCACAAGGGGGTTTTAGGATTCACGCGTAAAGATTTTGGTTCTATTTCTTGTGAGTACATTCCCGAGGAAAACGCTGGACTATTTGCCCGCCACTCGGATCGGGGTTTTAAGACTTGGCAGGCTGTCCTCGAGGGGCCCTCGGGAAGGGCGTCAGAGCTGAGCTGAGGAACAGCGATGGGCAGGGAGGCAGGATGCCTGGGGACTGGGGCAGTGGGAGTTGGGAGGACCAGCTCCAGGCCTGTGCATCTCCGCACAGATAGGACCACCTCCCCATCTGTGCTTCCACGTGAGCTCTACTCTCAAGCCACGAGATGAAGGGCCCTGTCACTAGAGGCCAAGCGATGGCCTGTATCCCTCTGTGGCCACTTTCCACAGGAGCAAATGCCCCGGAGCACCAGGTGCACGGATGCTGCAGGTTCACCTCCCTCTCTTCACTGGACTTTGGCGTTTTCCGCTCAGTCAACAGATACCTACAGAGCTTCCCCTACGTGCCAGACTGACAGCAGGAGAGAGATGCACGGATGAACCCAAACATCTGACGGGGTGGGGAATCGGGCACGGGGAGCTGAGAGAAGAGACAGAACACTCAGGGTCTCTCAAAGAGGGAGTCAGTCCCTGAATCTCCGGAAGGAAGGACAGGGCGCTGCGGAAATCTCTGCCCGCACTCCTGCCCTGGCCACCCCTCCCCCAGCCCGCAGCAGCTCCGGAGCAGCTCAGGAATCCAAGCAGGTGATGAAGGAACAATTGTGAGGGCAGAGTCTTCTCCCAAAGAGAGCAGCTGCCTCTCCAGGCTGCACATGGACCACCCAGGAGATCTGGGGGCCATTAGGAGGGAGAAGGCAGACGTGCGGGGAGGTGGCACTGAGGATGGTGGGAGGCCTGGGGCCCCTGAACTATCTTCCTAGGAGCACAAAAGTGAGGCCAGATCCTGGGACAGAGAGAAAGGAGGCCGTGACCCCTCGAGGACCTCCTGCACCCAGCCGCTCACAGACACTCCCATCGACTACCACCGTCGCAAGTGTACAGAGCACCCACAGAAGAGATCCCAGAGCGTAGAAGGCAGGAGACCACGTTTAAACTCTAGCTGTCTTCTGATCCATCTGAACATGTAAAAGTGAATTTTGAACAGGATAAGGGCATTTAGAAATTACATTCTTTTTGAATCTGCAAAAGAATGTGTGTGTATATATATACACACACGTAGGTATAACTGAATCGCTCTGCTGTACACCTGAAACTAACACACATTGTAAATCAACGACACCTCAATAAAAAAATAAATATTTTTTTAAAATTACATTTTTTTAATCAACCGCAAGCTCTCTCAAGGCTGACAGCCCATGACACCCTTCAACATCACGACCCTTCTGCCAGACTGAAGCCCAGCCCCCGACGTTGTGCTGGTCTCCACGGGTCGATGTGCTGTCACACGCCTTGTTCCATTAAAACCCTAACACAACACGCCCCCCACCAGCCGGCCATTCACCTTCTTCTAGAACAGACGAGGACAGTCTCGTTACAGGAAATCTCTCACCCAAGGCCGCGTGGCTCATCAGGACCAGAATTCAAACGCGGGCTCTGAGCTCTGTGGACGCACGCGGTCCTTCCCTGCACACGTCCGACTCAAGCCTTTGCCCAGGCGTCCGCCGCAAACACGCCCTCATCCTTTCTGTCCGTTACCATCTGCCCGTCCTCAAAGCCCATCCTGTCATCGAGAAAGGCTTCCCGATGTCTAATGGGGAGAAGAGCCCTGCTCCCCCTTAGCCTGTGTGGCCCGTGTTAACAGTTACACACAGACCACCTTAAAGCCCGGCCCCGCCCGCCCCAGTCCTGACTTCAAGCTTCAGGCAGTGACTCTGTCCCGTTGATAGATAACTACTTACAACAACAAGCACAGCTGCCATACAGTGTATACTAATGGACCCAATAAAATTAAGTCATAAGCACACACAGAAACCACAACTTCAACTCCATACTCTTCAACGCTATACTCTTCAACCCCTTTCCTAAAATATCTAGTCATTTGAGATAATATTCCGAATACTTCTCAAAATGTTTGGATTGTCTTTCCTAAAAGCAAAATAAAACAAACAAAATGCTTTGTTTTCACTGCTTTGAAAGATGGTACAACAGAATAGAAACAAAACAGAATATAAATACAATAGAAGTATTCAACCTCTAGAGTTTTGTTTCTTGAGCAGTTGGCTACAGGGTTCCTTCTAAGCACTGAGAGGAGAGTCGTGCTCATAATTTCCCAGACATTCATGTCCCTAAGGCAGCAAAAGTCTCCTTACTACCCTGCAAATTCTCCCTGGGCCCAGGTCAATTTTCTTCGGTAAATTTTAACCAAATGCAATCTGATAACATTTTAACATATGCGATTAAACAAAACCTACTCACATGCCCAGCAGTTAGGTGTGGGGGGAGGAAGCTGAGGCTCTATGAGAAAGAAGAGGGGTCGGGAGCCCTTGCGTCCCTGGACCAGCCAGTAGGTCACGTGGTGCTTTCTCAGCACCAGCAGCAAAGAAATAATTCATTAAAAACAAAACAAACCCCGGGTATACCCGAAATGAACTGTAACCAAATCTACACGAATAACACGCATTCTTCAGCCAGCAAACCTTCAGGGCAGATACACTTTAGTGTCAGAATTGGGCCTGGTATCAAAAGGCCTGGTTTTTAAACACTCTGCTAATACTGCCAACACAGAACTTCCCCTGAAGATCACAACGCTACTATTTCTATTTTCCATGCGTGGGTTGTTTTCCCATGTCCAGACCCCACATAAACCCCCATCTCACCCAGGGGCAGACCCAGGGACCCAAAAGTCAGATTTCACGTTGCCCCTGAGAGGGTGAGATTTACACCTCACGCAGCCCATCTCACGCTGCACACCAAGAAGCGGGAAGGAAACCCGGGAACGAAAGGCAGGAAAAAGGAGAGGGGATCCTCGGGGCATCGGCCCGGGGCTGCCCACCTCTTTCCGTTACTGTCCCGGAGCATCGCTCTTCCCATCACCCTGGACTTCCTTTCCAGCTCCTGCACCTCCTCCAGAAGTGTTTTCTTGCAGGTGTGCTTGGCCCTGTGTCACAAGGAAGAGACAAGAAGGACATGACACGTGAACTTTACACAGCCTTGAAGATGAGCTGCTCCCTTCGTGGGCCACATCTCATGCCCGCTGACCCGGGCCCAGGCCTGGGGACACCATGGAACATTCACTGTCCCCGTGCATGGCAAGGGCTCCACCTCCGCAACCTGGGAAGCACCCCAAGTCCTGCAGAACAGACTCGGGCCGTGAGGGTCAGAAGCTGCCCCCCTAAAGAGCACCGCCTGTCACTGCAGAGCTGGCTGAGGCCCCCTGTGTCCAGACAGAAGCCCGGGGTACCTGGAGAGTCGTGGGTCAACCTCTAAAGCTTTTCACTGCAGGACCAAAAAACCCAGAAGATGCTTTAATCCTCAGCCTAGTGGATGCATGTGGGTCCCTCGGGCTGTGCCCTGACGGTGAGATCAGGAGCCTGGGGGGGGGCGGGCGGGGCGGGGGGAACAGTCTTCTCTCTCCTTTTAGGGTGAAAAGAGCCACTGTCGCAGCAGGACTGGGAATTATGATGCCAGAGTTCACAGTCATCGTGCCAAACCCTTGAACTGAAATTTGGGTCAACACAAATATCTGGACACAGATTTCCTTTCTTCTCTTGCAGAGACTTACCATCAGGGCCCATGTCTGCAGGCCTCGGCGGCGTGAAACAAGGGATGGGGTAACAAAACGGTCTGGCCTTTCCAGCCGTGTAAACTGTAGACGGGCCCCTCTTCCTGACCTGCAGGAAGAGTTACCTGCACCCTTTCCTGATTAAACTAAGAAATACCTTAACAATGTTCCAATAAGTGTCCGATTGCAAAGGTCTTCCTAAAATTGAGATTAAACAGAGAGCAGCTGGTTGGAAACTATACAGGGGAAGAAAGGGCATTTAAGGAGACACAGGTTAGAAATGGGAAAAGAAAAACTATAAAAAGCAAGAGGGCCCTAACGGAGCAGACCAGGGCAGCGTTCCTTTTTCTGAAAAGCTTGTTAGTTTCCGTACAAATGCACGTGGGGAGCCCACCAAGTAGCCGGACTCAGAGACAATCAGAACAAAACCGAGCGCATCTTCAAGGACGTGGGACAGTGAGATGGAACATTCCGGAGACGTGAGCTGTTCTACGGAAACACGTACTCCCGTCTGCCCTCCACCTTCAAGGAAAGGAAGTCTGTGAAGACGGCGCCCAGTCATCTGCTGACACCCCAAGTTCATCTCCGAGGGAGAATCAGGGCTGAGACTCTGTATATGGGTCAGTCATTAATTTCCCCGGAGGAAACAAGAGAAATGAACCACACAGGTTTTCACACATAATTCCTTAACCACACCAAGCAATGTTCTGAGACTCAGGGGTGTAAAATACTGAAGTTCAAAGCGGAGATGGCGGAATTTTCATTTAAACAAGAAATGAGAAAACGTTTAACTTTTTGCTGGAAAGGAGACAGTCAAAAAGAATGTGACAGTTGATACCGTTCAATATGAATGAATACGCTGGGCCCAAACTTTACCTTTGAACTCGCGGGTTTCTGGGGCTGTGTGGATGAAAGCCAGCTGGGTAAACAACCAGCCCCACTCCACGGGTTCACGCCAGATACGTGGGTCCCGTGGAGCATGTCCTAGAGAATGAGCTTTCTCGCTTACTGTTTCAGGACTGTCCTCACTCCATCATCCTCCCTTGCTCTGCACCCTCCTGCCCACACAGAGCAAGCAGGTTCATTAACCCCTAGACCAGCCCCCAGTGTTCTCCTCTAGGCTAGGGGCTAGGGGGAGGCGTGACACGAAGAAGTAGGCTTGGAACAGGAAGCCTGGATCACAGGGCGCAGAGCACGCTGGAAATGTACAGCCTGGGCCAAGAGCAAAGAGAGCCTGACCCACTGTGCTGGAGCTGCTGGTTTCCACTCATTCACAAAACTGCCTGAGAGGGAAATAATTTCAGTATCTTGATGCTCCTGGGCGTTGTTCACGTTCCCAGTGGATGAAAATGCATCCATATCCAAGATGGATCCCATCCAATTTTATAGTATCAATATTTCCACTAGGCTAGTTCCCGTGAGCCAGCCTGGGAGCTTAACCAGTATAAGAACACAGTTAGTCCTTCTGCATGAAGCCCTGCTGTACATACAGGTGACGCTAGCAATTTAAAACCATTTTCTCGGGCTTCCCTGGTGGTGCAGAGGTTAAGAATCCGCCTGCCAGTGCAGGGGACATGGGTTCGAGCCCTGGTCCGGGAAGATCCCACATGCCGCGGAGCAACTGAGCCCATGCGCCTACAGCCCGTGCTCCACAACAAGAGAGGCCACCGCGGTGAGAAGCCCGCGCACCACAACTTAGAGTAGCCCCCGCTCGCCGCAACTAGAGAAAGCCGCATGCAGCAACGAAGACCCAATGCAGCCAAAAATAAATAATAAATTAATTTTAAAAAATAAAATGGAATAAAACCATTTTCTCAAGAACCTTTACCCAATAAGGCCTTACTTAAAGAAATGATTCTAAGACCTCCCCTGTCAAAGTCTGCGTATGAATGGACTAAAATCTAATACTTATTTCAAAAGCCAGGCTCTAAGCATTAGCCACTGGCATGGAAACTGGATCTCTCCCATTACCTGTGGACAGCTGGTTCCCAGGGGTCCAGGACTGCTCACCCAACCCCACGTCAGGAGGCCAGGTGATCACAGAAGGCTCAGGTAGGGGCACTTAGCCCCTGTAAGGGAGTGTGGTGACCCACAGTGAGCCTTCAGATAGAACAGGAGTATCTCCAGGTTATTAGGGATTTTTGAAATAAATAAGTCGGCTTAGAATCTTGCACTTTTCATCTTCTTGTTTCTGAAACTTTTTTCCTGGACTCTTTCTTTCTTTTCTTACGGAAGGAAAGCAAGTCAGAAGGAAATGTTAAATTCTAAGTGGAGATGAAAATATAAATACAATGTGCTTCAAAGAAATCAGTCCAGTTAGAAAGTATTAAAAAAAAAAATCAAGGTCCCCGTTGTACACAGGAATTTCTTATTACCTTTTATTTCCATTGAACTGCCTATCTGGGATTATAATAAGGAAATGAAGTCATTCTGGACTTGCTGAATGCATCGTGTGTTGACTGGTAAGGTACCAGAGATACAGCTAGACAAGAGGAGATGGGTTCCTAAGTTCCGTGGCCTTGAGCTTTGTATTATTTTTATAAAGCAACATAAATGAATTTCTCCTCGGTGAGCGTAAGTACATGGCAGCTTACCTAAAAATGCTGTCATAGGTAAACATTTTGGAAGCACGTAAGCTAAAGGATATTAAAATAGTTCTGGGCAATTTAAACTTCATGCGTGTAATAAAAATATTCATTAGCCAGGTATCACATACAATCAATCAGTTATTTTAATAAAAGATGTGTTAGTTTGGTCCCTCATGAAAATTCTGGTTAACAGGATAACAGAGGAGGTATTATACAGTGTCCAAATCTGACTTAAGATAGACTAATAATGGATCTTCATTCAGAAACTCGATAGACTTCATGGAAAAAATCATCGAGTTACCTCATGCTGTTTTTTTTTTCTTTACTGTTAACAATGCAGGTCCTGAAATGGGAGAGAGACTGGACAAGGAAAAAGGAAAATGCAGGAAGACAGAGCAAACCAGAGCATACAGAAATATATGTGAAAGGGCAGGCCTGCCTTGGGCTGGAATTTAAAAGCTCTTTCAGAATGGAGTTAGCCACCAAAATTCAAAACAAAACCAAAAAGCCCTAAGACTGGTTCAAGGTGGACTTCCCTGGCGGTCCAGTGGTTAAGACTCTGCGCTCCAAACGCAGGGGACCCGGGTTCTGATCCCTGGTCGGGGAACCAGACCCCGCATGCTGCAACTAAAGATCCTGCACGTGGCAATGAAGATCCCGCGTGCCGCATCTAAGACCCGGCACAACTGAATAAATAAATATTACAAAAAAAAAAAAAGAGATCGGTCCAAGGTAGGATGAAAGAACCATCGCAAATCTACAGAAGGTTCCGGATGCTGCCTCAAGCTGACTCACCACAGCCACATTGTCCAGCTACTCCCCGACTCCCCATCATGTAACTCAAACTCTTCTCTCAAGTCCAAGGTGCGGCCTAGCACATCACGTGTCAAGAAACATTCCAAAATTTGAACCAAATAATGGGCGATTTTCTGGAAAATCAGGATGAATATTTTTGTTCAGTGTGCCAGAAGGAAAAACAGGACACATTTTATAAAGCTGAAGAAGGAGAAAGGACAGTTGAGTATCGTGGTCTCGTCAGAGGTAAGCAACTCATAGTACGCTTTCCTTCTTGGGAGAAGCCTCTGATTTTCCTTGACTCAACAAGAAATATTTCAGGCTGGGAGTAGAATAGGAAGTAAGACATGGGCCCTGCGATCAGAGGGAACATGTCCAAAGAAACGTGCCCAATTCCTGTTTTTGAGGAGAGGGCTAAGTATAGTGTAGACATTAGCTGTATGTTATAAATTGGGCATATACTTTGGGCAGACACTGCAGGTGCGATGAGACAATATACCCTGCTCCTACCTGGCTGGCAAGCTCCTTGGAAAGGAAGTGACTTTTACTCTTTCCAGATGGCGGAGCTGGAAGCAGTGTCATTTGATGTATCCTTGCTAAAATGTAAAGAGCACTAATTTTACAGTGCCAGGAAAAACCAAAAACAAATCCTGTTGGAGGGAATAGATAATTTGCTTCATGGCGACTGGGAACTTCTACTTGGAATGTATTGGGAAAGATCCAGAAAGCAGATGAAGAGGCAGAGACATGCTCTCTGAAATGGCAGAAAGACACTTCTGCCGGCATCTCCCTTGGCAATTATCTCGATCTCCACCAAAAATGTTTTTCATGACATTAATTTAACAGTTGAATTAAAATAGGCTGAGACTGATTTCTAATCAAATCACTGTTCTCAACCCCTGTACACTGAAAAGTGATCTGACGTAACCAACACCACGTTCTATTTACCTGAAACTAACTCGATGATCTTGCAAAACTGAAGAAATCTGGCAAAGGTACTATACTGTGTGGCAACTGGGCTGTTACGAGAGCAAATCCTAGAACTAACATTTTCTTCCAGTTCATTTATTAGATTAAGAAAACATCTTTCCTGGGCATCATAACTTCATTTCCAAGGATTCTGATCCTGCTACTTCAAGAACACGGTTTTAGCAGATACCATGGAAGCAGTGGTAAATCAAGGCATTTAAGAGTTATTTAGTGTTCACTAACAGTTGTCAAACTTAGTGAAGAGAAGAAAAAAAAAAACCACCTAAAATATGTGCTATAAAATTCTCTCTCTCCCCTTCCCTCTCCGCATTAGGTATCATCCGTTGTCAAGATAATGCCAAGATGAAGATTTTTTCCAAAAACATCCTTATCTGTCAGGCAAGAACAATTCTCACTGAGTATGGGAGGAAGGGAGAGAGAGAAATGAAATCTGATGTCTTTTCCTGGAAGGTTTGGAATGAAGTCAATTCTCTACCTCAGGGGCCCCAAATAATTATGCTTTGCCCAAAGTAAAGCCAATCCAGGAGTTGCAATTTTCAGGGAAGTTGGCAACTGTAGGAGGTATCATCAGGCCTACCCCAAATAAAAATCAATATGACCTCATTTTGGAGTATTCCATCTTTTCCTCGCAGATGAAATACAATTTACATTATCTTGGAACTCCGTAGCTTTTTTTTTTTTTTTTTTTACATTGTACATAAGATACTTAGGAGATAATACATTCTGAAAGGTATAAACAAAAATCGAGCATGAATTATTTTCTATCGAACCTATGTTATAATTTCTTCCTTGTGATTAATCTTCTCATAGACTTATAAATTGACACTTCAGAAGAATTATATTTGAAGGATTCCTACTGGGAATTATTTGCAGAAATGAAGAATACTTGATTCCAAGTATTTGGTGATTTGAAATGACTTACATAAACATACAATTTCCCTTGAAGCATGGGGTTTAAAGCCAGGTTCTATCTGTGATCACATAGCACTGATTTTCAGATAGAAGGAGAAATGAATTTTGAGTTATGTTCCTTAAACCTGATGGAATTTCTAAACTTAGAAATTCTCCCCTATAATCGTGTACAAGCAACATCTCTCTTGACCTTCACACAGCCTGACTCCTTTTTGACTATATTCTCATATTAAGGTGAAGCACAGGTTAAAAGAAAAAAAAAAAAAAAGACACAACCCCAAATCCTTTATATCCGTTTCTGGCAGGTGGCAGGAGACCTGTTTCTTTAGAAGTCCCACAGCATCTAATACCCTACGCTGGGGCCCACTGAGGACTAACTGGAGGGCATCGGACAAGACCTGGGGTACCACTTCATCTTTCACTTACGCTTTCCACACCACATCTTCCATCAGACACGCGGTAGGAACCAGAAATAATCCCAGCCAGAAGTGCGCAGAGCTCAGGACCATGGCTGCCTGCAAGAAACAGAAGTGACATGTGCATTAATGCTCTTTCAAAAAAAAAAAAAAGAGAGAGAGAGAGATAATTTAATCAGTGTAACACGCCCCATCACACAAAAGCAATAGAACGTATTAAACTAGTGAAAGCTGAAATACACACTCAGGAAAAACGGGAAGGGGACCGGCAGGGTGAGCGCCTTGCCGCGATGTTCATCAACTCTTGTCTCCATCCTGATATTTTGACGAGTGTTGTCTCCTTTTCTAAAGCGCTTCAAACCCCCACTCTGGTCAGAATATGCTGTCCTAAACCCCTCCTCTGGAGAAATGCTGGAGCCGCCAGACTCCACAGAAATAAACTTCACTCCATAGGCGCCTTGCAACCACCCACGTATCCATCAGTTCCGGGTGCTTCACTGCTCTCCGTCACTGATGTAACCACACCTGGGCGCAGGGCAGGGCGGTTCTCAGCACCCAGAGGAGGAAGGTGAACAGGCTATGGTCCTTGTCTTCAAGGAGCTTAAAATGGGGTGGTGTCTCCTACATCACACGTGGAATGGATGTGTCATGCTCATATGCTCTGGGGGCGAGAGGAAGGCTAGAAGGCTGGGAAGGCTTCTTAGCGACAGAGTGTGGGGTGTGATGGGAAGAGAAGCAGGATTTCAACAGCTACAGGGACAGAGGGAAGGCGATGACGGGGGGACACAGCCTCCGATGATAAGACTCCAAGTTCCCCGGATGCAGGGCCACAGAGAATTTGGGAGGAAGCGGGAGAGGGTCTTAAGGAAGAGTTACAGGGGCAGCTGTCAGTCAGGTGAGGACCTGAAAAGAGGGCTCAGGGCCAAGGCAGGGGGGGGGAAGGAGGCAAGGGGGGAGGGGGGGGAGGAAGGGGGAGGGGGAGAGTTGATTTTGCTCTGAACAGAATCGGGGCTGGGAAGGCAGAGTCCTTAAACTTTGTTTTGAGTGAGCGAGGCCAGAGGGTGGAGCTGGTAGCAGTGGCCAACTACTCGGACAGGGACCGAAGTTAAGTGTGACAGAAGCCTTCACATTCACTGGTTTCTCTTTTCTAAGTTCTCACCACTGGATTCTACCGCAATCGATGTGTTCTGCTCCAGCCCACACCTAACCACGTCAGTCTTGCCACTGAACCCCAGCGTGTAGCCCTGTCTGTGGTGTCGGAACTTTATGACAACAAAACTGAGAAGCAGTGAGATCTGGGGTAAAGTTGAACACCAACCCTGGCACTGGAGCCCTTGCTTTCCTTTTCTAAAAACAAGATTGTCAGCTTTCTGGAAGAGCAATTTAAAACCTTAAAAATACGTGAGTACATTTTGCCCCATCAATTACCCATCTCAGAATGCATCCTATGGACACAAGTAAGAACTTGAGTAAAGAAGCAAGTACAAGAGTATTCACGTAGTGCTGTACCGTCAAAGGAAGTAAGAAATAAGTGTCCCAGAAGAGGGCTTACTAACTATACTGTGGTTCCTACACCCAATGGACTTCTGTGTAGCAATTAAAGGGATGCAGAATGATAATGTTGACATAGAGAGGCGTGATGTGATATTGCTAATAAAACGGATGGGTTCTGAGCATCTGAAGGGGACCTCCCCCGGCAACAAGGGTAGGGGTGGGAAAGGACGCAGGATTGGCCACAGCGCTTTTGGTATCGAAATTTAGTCAGATTGCTCTTGTTCTCTCAGAATAATAGTAAGTCTCAGAATTAAACCTGAGATGTGATCTCCTGATGCTGCCCACCCAAAAGTTACACTGCATCTTTAAGTGCTAAGCAGTGTATATATGTCAGTATACATCAGTACATATGATAGTTTTTTGTAAGTTCTGTTTTGGAATTCCCTCACCTTAAAAAAAAAACCCACACACGTTCCGGGGCCTCAAATGCAGTTCAGTGGTCCAGACCTTGATCCACTGAGACTGTGCAGACCACCAACCCGTGTGCCCCCTGTGTGCTTGCATGTCAGGAAAAAGGCACAAAATGGTCTGTCGAGGGAGCGCGTTGCAGTTTTCTTTTCATATCTCTTTGGCTAGCTCTAGTTCCCATTTCTCATACAGAAAACGTATTACTTCCACATACAAAAAATGTAACTCATCGCCCTCCCCGCCCCACGCCAGCGGCCCAAGCGAACCACAGGAAGGAGTTGGATTATCCAGGTCCTTTCTTTCTGCAAGTCCCACCTTCCCCCTCTAATCCATCCTTGGCTGACCCAGCGACAGGAGGCGGCCTTGTTTAAGATACACTTGTGGGGCTACATCCTAGGTCATCAGCTGGTGTATTTTGCAAAGAATACAGTCATTTAAGACTACGATTTTATAGAAATGATAGTTGCTGTGATGGGATGGGGTGTTAGCTAATGCTATGATGGCAATCATTTTCCAAGATATAAGTGGATCAAATCAACATGTTGTACACCTTAAACATACAATATTCTATGTCAATTCTATCTCAATAAAGCTGGAAAAATGTTTTTTCGAGAAAAAAATAAAAATAACATTTTCCAACAATGTGTACTATTTAAAATAGATTATGAAACTCCATAAGAATTCTCATTGCTGACGGAAATAAGGAAAATGACCTCTGAACTGCCCTGCTGAAAACAGGGAGCCCTCTCCCCAGTTGACAAAGGTTACATGGAGATTTGGAAGTATCGTTGTTTTGTCGCTGGTTTTTAAAACTTGGAGCTGTTTTAAAACACATAATGGACATAACTAATTTTAAAGGTGTGTCTCCAGAAAGGTTTCCACTATCCCGATTTTCACAGATTGACTGAGGTTTGAGGTACTGAAATCTTTGCTAAGGCCACAGCTTTTGGTATCGAAATTTAGTCAGATTGCTCTTGCTCTCTCAGAATAATAATAAAAAACTGTTTACCGAGCTGGGCTAGGTGACACACGACACTTAATTACTCCCCCCTCCCCTCTCACCTGTACTACTGAGTGAGGTTTTAAAAGTACCCTTTTGATGTGCTAACAGCCCCACTGGGACGAAGGGCATCCTCAGTTAACACACCTTTAGCTAGCAATACTGTTAACCACTTAGGTGCCAAATGCATAGGAACCCCCCCTGCCGCTTGGGGGTAAAGTGACTTGGTTCTGAGGCCATAGCTGGGGAGAGCCCAGGGAGGGCAGTGCTGGTCTGGGTGTAATGCTGCACAGCATCGCGTCCTGATAGACCAGGAATATCGACCAGGGACACCGTGAAACGCGTGACCGGGGATCAGAGCACTCAGCAGCTTCTGCAGGCTCCACATCACACGCGGTCAAGGTGACAGATGAGAGAAGGTTCTAGAAAGGAGGCTGGAGGAGCCCGAGCTGGGCAAGGTCAGTTTGTGTTCCCTGGTGTGGGGCAGATTCAAGACACCATGATAGAGATGGAGGAGGACACCGAGGTTTCTTGGTGCGTCACCACGTACCAGGACTTCCCATAAAGCATTCCATGTAACCCTTCCTGGTCCCCTTTCTACAGAAGAAAATCAAGTCCGCAACTTCCCCCAGGGACCTGGGGCAGGAAAGCAGGGCCATCAACATTCAAACCGAGGCGGGTGGACCCCAAACCCTACTCCCTCCCTGTGTGTGAGGAGTGAGGGGCTTCCTTCTCCCCCCATCCCCCCCGCCGAGCCTCCAAGCAGAGGAGACCGTCTCTGAGTTCAGAGACAGCACAGGACTCAAGGCACAAGGTACGCTTGAACTGAGCACCAGAAACACCAGACCCCAAAGCAAAAGTAAATAAAAGAAAATCTGGAGGACGTGCAGTTACCAAAACAAAGAGAACAGGAGCCTGCCCAGCTCCAAGCCCAGCGCTGCCACATCCTCTTACTAACCCTGTCCCTCAGTTGCTTCCTCTGTAAAGTGGGAAAAATGTAATACTTACCTCATAGGGTTACCATGGGGCTTAAACGAATGGTTCATGCAAAGCCCTATAAAAAGCGCCTGGCACATGGTAAGCGCCATACACACTACCTGTAACTAACTGGAGTTTTGTTACACTGCTGACATAACCACGGATCTTACGGAGACATCCTAGAAGTGGTGAATGAACAGTGGTGCAGAGCGACTACTTGAGGCCGAGTCGGGTGCAGAAGATCACCTTATGCTCCAGCTCTCCGGAGGTTTACCCAGCGCTGTTCTCAGATGGATAGGCGGGCTGAGCTGCACGCTGCAGAATTCCCAAATGACAGTGCAGACAAGCTGCTTATTGGTGACAGGCAGCGGGTGTAAACTGCGATGCAGGCAGAAGCTGAACCCTGTTCTTCACACTCAGGTGTGAGTACCGCTAACCCGTATGGATGCCGCAACGCCGATCCAGGTCAACCTCCGACTGCCACGCCAGGCCCCGCCAGGCCACGCACCACCTCCGATCTCTACAGAGTGTCACGCAGAGCATGGGCTCCGCGGTCGCTCTGCAAGGATGGAGAATGCTTGCCAGGAACTTTTGTGCCCGAGGAGAAAAGAGAGTACGTGCTAAATGCCCGTGAAAAACGTTCGCCATGTAGCTGCGTGCCACCAGTATGGTGACTCTGAGTCACAGCCCAGGAAGAAGGGGGAGTTCTCAGCCCAAACTGTGTTCCAGAGCCCTTGCTGCTTCCACAGGGCTGAGGGGTGATGAAGCCTCCAGTCACACAGAACTGGCGGCGGGCGGAGAACCGGCCCCCGGCCATTTGCTTCTCTTTAGCACAGAGTAAAGAGGGATTCAGAACCAGAAGCTCCTGGAGGTCATTCTGGCCTTCGGGGCTCCCCTTAGACTCCTAGGTGGCAGGGACCACAAACTGAAGACGCAAAATCATTGTTTCTGAGGATGATAAAGACATCCCCTCCCCAGGAGCTGGCACTACAGGTACAGAAGGCAAGCAGCCCTCAGGGGACCTGCCAGGGGGGGACCCCAGGAAGGGCCACCTCCCCAGCTTTCCTCTTTGACATGAATGGAGAGGCATACAACGGAAATCAGGTAATTAATAGAATGTGTGAAGTCACACACATATCCTAAACGGGACATCCTTTAT